AGAAATTTCAAGCCTTCTTCCAAAATTTTCAAGAAATGGAAAGGTGGCGGTGGCTGGGAATTTTCGAGCTGTAGGGGAGAAACAAATGAGCAGGAACACGAAATGGCTGAAGAACAAGAAAGAAGAAAAAGAAAAGTAGCCGACCCTTCTAGATTTTCCTCCTATAAGTCCCTGAACTTTGAAATCTTTGGCTATTAAGTCCTAAAACCATATTTCCTCTCACAAAGGTCCTCACTTAATGCTAACATATCACAAAATTTTGGGGTATTACAGCAAGGGTGAGGAAAAAGAAGAAACCGGCGTGGCTGAGGAAGAAAGAAGGAAAAAAATCACCTTGATCCTTATCCTAATGTTTTTCTCTTTTAAGTCCCTCAAATTTGGATATTTTAGCTAATAGGCCCCAAAATAATATTTTCTTACACAAAGGTCCTCAACTTAAATGCTAGAATTTCAAAAAATTTTGGATATTACAACAGCAGTTGAAAATGATTATAACCGATAGTAATTTTTTCTGTTGAATATAATTATATAATTGACAGCCATTGGTTGTCGACTATAGCCATTGGCTATTGAATATAAGTATAATTGACAGCAAATGGCTGTCGAATATACTTGGTAAAAAAATTAAAAAAATACAGAATTTAGTAAAATCCAAAATTATATTTATAATTTTTCTGTTAATTAAATTATATGAAAAAATAATAAAACCAAATTCAACACAATTATCAAACCCCTCAACAATATTTTTATGAAATAATTTTAAGAGTAATATACTATAAGAAATAGTAGATAAACATAAATAAAACTAAAATAAGAATTCTAACCTTAATTAGTTTTTTATCGATATCTTGCCAAAAAGAAGAAAAAAATTGCATTGGTACACATTATGACTTTATTAAAAGAAAAGAAAATAAAAAAATATAATGAAATTTTAAAAAAAAATTACCTCATAATTATTGTATTAAAATCTACACAAAAAAAAGAAGAAGAAACTATTAGTATATCAAATAACAAAATTTCTTACTTTAAACTAAATTGAAGTAGTTGGATGATGCATAAAAAAAAAAAATGCATTGATTGAGAAGGATGAAGAGAAAGAAGATGAAGGACTGTCAACAAAAGAAAATAATGGAATAAGTATAAATGAAAACTAAAATAAAACTAGAGATATTTACAAAAATACAAATGGGAGAGTATAAAAGATGAAAGAAAAAGGGAAAATAAAAGGAGAAGAAGTTGAGAGAAAAACTAGGACGTTTTACTTGTGAGAAAGAAGGAGAAAGGAGGAGATAGCCAGAGATGAAAAAAATGAAGACAATGGGATGTTCTGATTTTGAAACCCTTATATAATAAAAATATATTTAACAGAAATTCTATTGATTATATTAAAATAAGACTGTCAAATATATTTCAAATTAAATTAGCCGGGAGATTTAATTTTTTTTCTGATGAATGGGCAAGTTTCAAGTATTATACTTGCTATAATCAACAAAAATGGCTGTCAATTATAGCCAGTATAATCAACAGCTTTTTGCTGTTAATTATGTTTTATTTTTTAATCTTCTTTTTTAATTTTTGTATTTTTAATTTTTATATTTAAATTGATATGCTATTTTTTTGAACAAATGATCAGTTTGATTTATCTAATTTTCTCTTTTTGTTTTCTTATTTTTTTGGTTTTTTTCCTTTAGTTTCTTTTTATTGATTTTCTTGTAAAATTTTTGGTTTTAAGGCCGGTAAGAATCAATTTTTTTGAGGTTATAATTGATTATTAAAATTATATTGAAATAAGGTTATCAAATACATTTCAAATTAAATTAGCTAGGAGATTTAATTTTTTTGGATGAATGGTTTCAAGCATATATAATAAATATTATTGAAATTAATATTTTATACATTTTATGTATAAATATTATCAAATGTAAGATTATTTTAATTAATATTTTATATATTTTATGTATATATAATGATAAGTTAATTATAAATATTTAGTATTAGAATCGATAATTAAAGCAAAGTATATATGTGTATAATATTAGTTAAAAATAATTTTACATTTAATAGTTTTAAATTTTTATTACTAAACATATAAATATATGAAATTATAGTATGTATAATCGATAGTCATTTCTGTCGATTATAGCTAGTATAAACGATAGCCACAATGACTGTCGATTATAATTAGTATAATCGACAACTTTTTGCTGTCGATTATGTTTTGATTTTTTTAAATTTTTTTAATTTTTGTATTTTTAATTTTTATATTTAAATTGATATGCTATTTTTTTGAACAAATGATCAGTTTGATTTATCTAATTCTCTCTTTTTTGTTTTCATTTTTTTTTTGGTTTTTTTTCCTTTAGTTTCTTTTTATTGATTTTCTTCTAAAATTTTTTTGTTTTAAGGCTAGTAAGAATAAATTCTTTTGAGGTTATAATTGATTATTAAAATTATATTGAAATAAGGTTATCAAATACATTTCAAATTAAAATAGCCAGGAGATTTAATTTTTTTTGGATGAATGGTTTTGAGCATATATAATAAATATTATAGAAATTAATATTTATACATTTTATATATAAATATTATCAAATGTAAGATTATTTTTAATTA